CCAATGTTTAATTAGAGGCTCCTATTTGCACCCAAGATCTAAGTCAGCTTCGGGCTCGGCAAACAAAGCATCTCTCTTTAGGTTTTCTATCCCCAAATTCTCCTTACTTCAACTTTATTTCCGAATCTAAATAGACAAGAGTCTCATCTAATACGGTTCACCTCCAAACAAATAGAACAGTGATCACAAACTGTGTTGAAGAATCTTTTACATCAAACCTGAAAGATTAGTTTGGAAAGATAAAGAAACAATAAACCAGTCAAAACTAGAGAAAGAGGGATACTCCATGGAGTTAGACCAAGTCCACCTACCATAAAGAGAGGCAAGTATATTATGGTCAATCTATTCCAAATTATCATGAAACTCTTTTGCACAAGTTCTAGAGAAGTTTTCTCTCGATATCTTGAAGCTGTTCAAAACCATATTGAAGTTTCCACCAGTTACTCATGGATGCTCCTATTTCCTATGACATTCCTCCAAGTCACCCCATAGCATATGCCTATCTCTTCCCTCCTAAACATACACAACTGTAAAAAATCCATCTCCATCCCTTCACCTTGGATCTGAAGATGCAAGAAATAGAATATTTTCTCCTCATATGATCTTCAATTTCCAAAACATCTGCATTCCATAACACTACCATCCCCCGCCCCCTGCAAACCCCACCATAGGCAAGTCCATCCAACCTACCTCCCTAATCCTCCAAATATTGGAGCCATTAGTTATAAACATTTCCGATTTTGATTTTGGAAACAAATAACATTAAGTTTCCATCTAGAAATACACCCTTTGATAACTGCCATCTTATTAGAATCATTTAACTGGAAATGTAATATATGAAACTCTTTGGTTTAAATATATGTTAATCAAAAAAAGTGAAAACTCTTATCTTAGGTAATTGTGGTAAAAAGCAGCATACCAGTATTGCCAGATATACGGCTTCTAAGATACGTTAATAAAGCAGGTGTAGGTCCAGATACCAATGAGCTGCAAGGAGAAAAAACATTTATTTGTGTAAACTCAAAATCAATAGCAGTATCAAGCAAGCATGCACCAAAAAACAATGCAAGCCTCATACCTTCTAAGAGTGCGGATAGGATTACCAGTGATCAAGAGTCTTCGCAAAGTAATCATATTTCCTAGAAAATAAATAAAAGGTTAAAAATTTACATATTTCTTGCTGATGAAGTTAAGCTAAGTACTTAAGATGTTTAAAAACCTTTCTAGTATCTTGTGTGGTTACTTACGCACAAAATTTGAAATGAAATTTAAGGACTCACACATGGGATAAGTTGGATCAGAGTGATAATAGTTTAGACTCAATAATAGATCCTCCTGTTGGACACTACAAGATAGTAGTTTACCAACCATCATCTGCTACACATATTTGCTACTAAATTGAATTATGATTACATTTGATAATAGCATATTAATTGCTATCATTTCAAAAAAATGGTATATTACTTGCTAATATTACCAAGCTCAGTGGGCAACCCAGTCAATGAATTATTTGAAAGATCCAGGACCGAAAGATTTAATGCGCATGCCTCAACTGGATACTCTTTCAACTGCATACATTTATATAAGTATTAGTATCCACCATTTCCTTGTATTTCCAGGGCAAAAAAAGAGATTAGCAACCAAAACTCATATTGAGATGAGTCCATAAAATAACATTAATAACACCAGCAATTGTCACTTATACTTTTATTTGCTTCGAGGGCAAATAACTAAAATCACTTCTTGCTATTACCTCCAATAGAGACCATTTTGTCTTCTCCTATTCTTAGCATGCTAATAAACTGAGCACAGTAGGATGGTCACTCGCCAGCTTAAACCATGTTAATGGTTAGACAACCAAAAATTAGTCATTTCCAATATAAGTGGAATCGCTAATGATATACCTTTAAATCATTTGCTTATAAAACAGTTTTAATTCCGTAGAACATCAACAATTTCCTTCAAATAGAACAGCAATTAGATACCTTGGTTGGGAGTTAACCTGGCCAGGGCTTGAGCTCTTCAATGATCCTTCATGAGAATTTCATTTCATCCTTTTAAAGGCAAATCCAGTTTACCATTACCCATTCATGTTAAACCAATTAATTAAATATATGCAACAGGTTTGACTAGGTTGAATATGAATGTTATGATTTGCTTTCTGTCATATAAAAGAATCATGCCAGTCAAAAATTAGGTGACCAGATCATTACTCTGGTAAAACAGTTAGTAAAAGTCCCAATTTCTGAGTATTAGAAATATGGAAGGGAAAAGTGTTCAAATAACTTATGTCTTGTACCTTTTCTACACTTCTCATTTATGAACTCTATATATATGAACAGAAGTAAATGCATTTTTTATTCTCTTCTCCGTGCAACAATGTGAAAAGCAATAGCCCTTTTATGTTGGCTAATAATTAACTACTAGTGGAATCAATTAAACTCACTAAAAGCTATCGTATATCATATGCAACAAAAAGTTAAATATGTTAAAAGAAGCCAGATCAGACAACAAATTTGTGCAGAAGCTTTCAATTAAGTGATAGCGATCGTGAGGAAATGCTGTAGCATACTTTATTTGTGTCAACAAGCACATAAAAAGATATACCAAAAATACCAAGCACTTACAGAATACCAAAATGAAATGAAGCACATACTTGATTTGAGTGAAGATCTAAGGTCCCCAGTTGTGAAAGTTCCCCCATTTCCTTTGGTAATGTAGACAGAGCATTGTTCCTAAAAATTAAGGTAAAAATTGGAAGATTAATGTCAGACAAGTTTCAGGTAAAAGAAATATCACATACTGCAAACACAGTTAACATTCTAAAGGCATAGCAGTGGATGAGAATGTTACCCCATGAACAACTCCATTAGGGAATAACAACCCTTTATCGATGCAGGGATTGATACAATTCCTGCATAAAATCACAGAGGAGGAGAACTGCTGACAGGTGAAACGAAAGGGCTCCAGTGATACCATGAAATAATTTTTGGCAAGATAACCATGCTTAATTTACTCACTGTTCTGATGTAGGTCAAGACGAACAAGACGTGAAAGACTTCCAATATTCTCTGGCATACCACTTAGCAAATTTTTTGCTGCACATTTAAACATTCTGGTTTAACTGGAAATAGCATATCCTTCATATGTAAAAACTAATCTCGCGCACAGTTATAGATAATTACAGGCATTGACTTCTGTAAGTGCTGTCCACGATGCAATCAAATTCTCAGAGATTGATGCCAGTTTGTTTCCCTGGATACAGAGTGAAGAAACATTCAATTTTTTTTTCTAGTAAACTGGTATGATAAAAAACAGTGAAAGAAACAATCATTCACCACCCACAATACCCAATAAATATATAATAAAAGTGGAAGAGATAAACAGGTCTCATCACTTTTAAGGTATAGAAATTAATAAATTTTGCTAGTACCTCCACATCTAGTTTTAACAATTTTGAACAGTTCGCAAGTTCTTTGGGCAAGCTGGCAATGCAGTTGTTTGATGCCTGTAAGAAAGGAAGCACACAACTATTATTCCACACAGCTTATGGTGCTAAAGGACAGGTAAAATCGAAATAGAATGGAATAGTTAAGTCCAATCATGCTTGCAAGAAAATAAAAAATACGACCTTGCAACAGGAATCCTATCATTGCAGAGATATCAGGTACAAGTGCTTAAACAATAAAACCAATTATACTCATAATGCCACATCTATAATAACGAAATGAATAGTGAGCGACCACGGCTCTGTTTCTGCATTGTGCATAAGTACATGGGAATTAAAATATAATTTGTTGGGAAGTATATTTGTATGGTATGTAGGGTATAGGGTATATTAGTAATATACCTATCTCATGTCAGTGTATTTCCTTTTATTGCTCATATAAACTTGGATATATAGGACCTTATTATTCAATAAAATTCATACTTCATTCTTCATATGGTATGAGAGCTTTAGGTTAAAAGAAAAAACATAAACTCTTTTACAAACTCTATTCAGTCATCATGTCAAAATAAGACACTAACACTACGGGGCCAGCTTCATTCTTGGCCACCACTGCCCAGCTGCCAGCCACCATAGACCAGCCACCAGCACAAAGACTAGCCTTCATTGCCGGTGCCAAAATCCTTCAGTTGTGCCTCCAGCCGCGCTCATCTCTATCCAGCTGCACATCTATTACTTGTCTGTGAGCTGTCTATGCCTCCATTCTGTTGGGAACACAAGAAGATTGAGGGACAGAAATTTATAGCCTAGGAGGAGAAGACTGCAGAGATACGTGATCTCAAGGAAAAAGTTGAGCGCCTGTAGACTCAATTCGAGCAACTTGAAAAACCTAAAAGCACAGGCATCCTAGTGCATTCAGGTGCCTTTCCTATTTCTCATGATTTAAACACCTCCGATAAAACTTTTGCATTGTCATGAATCATGGACTAAGGAGCGACCGACCACATGACCAACTCCTCTAAATTATTTCACACTTATATTCCATATCTCAGCAATAGGAAAATTGTAACTGTTGATGGTTCACTAATCACAATAGCAGGAATTGGAACCATAAACCTCAATCCCTATCTCACTCCTTGGGATATTCTTCCATGTACCTAAATTGTGTACCGATCTTATATAGTAACCAAATTGTCTCATAGCCTTGATCAAAAAGTGATTTCATCTCCTTCTATTTGTGAATTTCATGACTGAAACTCAGGGAGAATTATTAGACGGGGTAATGCTTGTGACGGGTTATACTTCATAGATATAGCTGACATACCCAAGACTGTTCTTTCTACCAGCAAATTAGGTAAGTTCTGTTTGTACCACAAGAAACTAGTACACCCTTCTTTCTCCACTCTTAAGATAATGTTTCCCTTCCTATTTTCTAATTGCAAGTTTACACTGCAACATATGAGAACTAGAAAAACATCAATGTGTAACTTCTTCTTCTACTAATAAAAGAAGTAATTTTCTTTTTTCAATTGATTCATAGCTGTTTGAGGTCCTAAAATACTTTTTTGGCATGGAGGTCATCTACTTTAAGTCCAAAATATTTATATCTCAGTAAAAATATATTATAAATCCCTTGAAAGAAGCTGGCAAGCTAGCATACAAGCTTGCCAATATATCAATTGATCCCAATCACAAACTAAGATTGACAAAGGAAGACCCCGAAGTGGACAAGAAAGTGGCAAGATTGATATAGTTGTCACATACAAGACCAAATATTGCATATGCAACAGATATAATGAGTTAATTCATGGATAAGTTCAGAGAAGCACATTTGCAAGCTGCCTATAGGATTCTCAACTACTTAAAGGTACTCTACGAAAGGGATTATGTTCATGAGAAATAATTAGCTGCTCCTTGAAACATATACTAATATTGACTATATAGGTTTATTAGTTGACAAATTGTATACGTCTGAATACTATACCCCTCTTGGAGAAAACTAGTGACTTGGAGAAATAAGAAGCAGAATGTAGTATTCCAACCCAATACCAAGTTAGAGTTTAGGCTATGACCCAAGAGATATATGAACTCCTATGGTTGAAGATGATTTTAAAAGATTCAGTCGAATTGACCTATGAGACTCTATTGCAATAATAAGCTAGCAATTAGCATTGCACACAATCCTGTAAAACATGGCAACATGAGATGTATTAAAGTTTATCAACACTTAATCAAAGAAAAGCTAGATAGTGGATTGATATGCATGTTTTACATGCACACTACTTTGTAACTTGCAGATGTATTGAGTACAAGATTGATTAATCCTGGGTTTCAGACTATTATTCACAATCTGAAAATAGATAATATATATTTATCAGTTTGCGGAGGAGCGATGAGAAGTGTATTTATATGTAGGGTAAATGATATATTAGTAATATACTCCTCTCACGTAAGTAACTATATTTCCTTTATTGTTTATACAAACCTATATATATAAGGACCTATTGTTCAATAAAATTCATACTTCATTCTCCACATAATTGGTTACTCATAATCTTCCTGTGTATAAGTTCATAAAAGTGAAAGAAAACTTGCAAACACAGGCGCAAAAAAAAATGAAAAAAATACTTATGCGTCCAAGAGAAGATTCTTAATGCAACTCTATGACTTATCCACTCTGTAACTAAAAGATACAATCACCCTTTGATTACCTAGTTATCAACACTTTTTTTACCTATCTTTCACTCTGATATCTTACCTCTCTAGGCTACTCCTACTGATACACTTGTGCTTAAGCAACTAAAGACAACTTAATGATAACTAAATTGTAAGTTCAAATTCAATCAACCAAGACAACTCTTCTAGCAGGCTATGAAATCTCTATTATAAAATGACAAATGTGCCAAAAAAAACCAATGTTCTAGACTCATTGCCAAGTGAGAATCCACATAAGCAAATATTTTCAGATTGTCAACTCAGCCAAGTCAAACCATTACCACTTTAACTATTTCTGGATCTTGACATTACAAGATCATATCACAATTTATTTTAAAAAAAAGACCATATCACAATTTTGCAACAAATTAATATCCACAATCAGATATCCAAGTAATTATGCTACAACAATGATATTATGCGAAAAGAATAATGAAACTTGATTGTGGGTTGTCTGGGGAGGTAAAAGAGCACAACTGTGGAGTTTGTTCAGACTTAAACAGGATAAAGGATTATTAGTTTCAAAAGCTATTTTTTTTCTTCAAGGATCACTGCCACATTCAAAATGGAGGATTTAGGGGATATCATTGATATTTTGAGTCTTCACCAACTTGTAAGTATTCCTTCGTACAATGTCCCGTCAATACTGTGCTTTTTTCCTTTAAAATAATATTAAAAACGACATGAAGCCAACCTACTGAAATTGATAAAGTGAGGTCCTGAAACCAGAATATCCAATGAAACAGAAAAAGCATGGCTTTTCTGGTCAATAAGCCCCAAGAAAAGATAGTTCATGATTCACAGTTTGGCAAGCCTGGCATTATATTTTACATATCAGTTTAGTTCTTATTATTGAAGTCTTATATTTCAAATCAAACATATCATTGATTCTACAGCAATCCTGTTGTGCTGTGTTGGCAGAATGCAGCCTGAAATATCCCAAGGTTTGGTGGCAAGAAGTTAGCAAAATTAATGATCATGTCTTATTAATCAACAATGTTAGGTGATTGCTGGTACTCGAGGGATGAGATTTGGGTGTGGAAAGAGATCAGTAACGCAGAGAACTCAGTAAGCCTTATTCTTTTGGTAACATTCTGGATGGTTTGGAAAGAAAGAAATTGGAGAGAGCGTTTAAGGATATAAAAGCTAATTTTGATAGTCTCATGAGTACTTGGTTCTAGGCCCTAGGTTTTTCAATTAAGGGTTATTCTCTTTATTTTACGTGAGACTTTTAGAGATCTTATTGACATTTTACTAGTATGTAAATATTTTGTACATGGGTTTGCACCTCTTTGGTGCTCATGAACAAGATATTATTTTTATTTTAAAAGAAAATTAATCAAGACTATTGTCCCACAGCTGCACAATGATGACTACATCAAGTTACAGTATTACCTTCAGTTCAGATAAATTTAAACATCTTCCAAGTGAGCATGGAAGTTCCTTCAGCTGATTACTTGAACAATCTAACCTGAAGAATCAGATAAAAATTGAACCAGTCAATAGACAAATAGCTATAACCATGCTCTGAGAGACTAAGGCATAGAACCATAAACATGAGTTGAAGATACCACAGCTTTGTTGGAGTAAATTTTGTTATCAGAGTGACTTAGATAGCATAGTAACCTGCAAGCCTCATCTCCCTCTCCTATTAAAATAAGTCAAGTTTCATCCTTCTTTCTTTCCTTATCTTTTTTCCTTTTGTTTGTGCATGCATGCATGTACGTGAGGCAGAGATAACAGCACAGCTGAATATCCCATTCAATATTGGAACTTGGAATGTGCTCTTCAGATGTTAATCTCGAAATGAAATAATGGTTGTATTGGGCTTTGTTAAAAATAACCATTTAACTATTTGGTTTTCCCATTAATTACACAGGTTTTCTGAAGTTGGATTCAGTTTAGTTTTCAAGCAATAAGATCAAATCTAAGTTTCTGTTTTAATTTTTCATTAAACTTATTGTTGTTTATATTTATTTATAGAAACAGAAGGGGTCTTTAACAACTATAAGGCAGTTAACCTTTCCACCGCCTGCTACTCAGTTTAGATATAACAGCCAATAAAAGTTATTTATTAATTCATGCATTTATTTGTTTAATCCATTTGAGAAATAAAGAGAGAAAGAAGCATACTTAACAAGAGAAGTTGCAGATCCAATTTCAGGTAATTTTGATATTGAGTTGAAAGCCACGTCTAATGACTTCAGCATTTGCAGCCTGTGGAACTTAATGGAATGGGACAGTAAATATCCAAGCACTTGAGACACACATAACTAAATACCTAAAGGATAAAGTTAAGACGTAGATAGTAGTTATAGAGAGTTTAGGAAGCTCACTCCCCGATTGCAGCTGGAAGTTCGGAAAGCTTGTTGTGGCTAACATTGAGCACGGTCAAAAGAGGCAAATTCCTTAGGTCTTCTCTTAATGACTCAATATTATTATGAGCCAAAATTAGCTTTGCCAGATCAACAGCCTGGAAACAAGGAACACCATCAGTACCCCGGTCTATGCAAACCTTAGATTTGAATGCAAATTCACTATCTATAAAATTTGATGACAGATTTAAGTGTATTACATAAAAACGAATGACATCAAAGGCCAAAAGACAAACAAACTACCTCCCACCAGTTTTCGCCTTCTCCGACAGCATCTAGACTTTGATATACCTCATTAGGCACCTCCCTGTAAGGTAAAACTCAATTTAGCAACTAAGTACAAACAAGCACCTATAACATACTTGATAAAAACATATAAGTTTTACAACGACCATAGAAGATCAAAAGCATTTTAAAATCCTTATTCATAAACAACTTACTCATCCTAAGACGTGGTATAACAACAATAAGAGAATCTAAAACATGATGCATTCATCATCGTCGGACCAAATCTCTCTTTTGCCTGACCTGAGACAGACTCGACTAGTATACGCGAGCTTCAAGCAAAATTTAATTCGATTATTCAACAGACACAAAATTGAGATTAAAAAAAATATATATCTTAGCCGGATTACCAAATAAATAAACGCAATTTGGATTTGTTTTAATTAACCAACTAGACGAAAGCTTCGCTTTAAGTTTTCAGAAATATCAATCTACATAAAAGATAATGGAATTTGCGCGGAAACTCGGGAGAAATGGATTTTGATTCGGCGGGTAAAGCGAGAAGGTTACTTGCCTGAGAGAACGATTTGACAAATTGAGAGAACCAGAGGTTCGTGCAGCTTTAAGCACCCGATCCATAGGTTTAAACTCAAAGACGAAATGCAAGCAAAATTATTAGTCTCCTGTCTGTTGCAAGGTTTCTGAGATCTGCAAGTCCCGGTAAAATTCCGAGAGGAACGATCGAAGGAGACTGCATGCTACTTTCGGTTTAGTTCAAATGGCCACCATCGTGGGGTGGCGACAAAGACATGTTGGAGTGTTGACTCAGAATCCAATTCAAATATTAATATATATATTAAAAGACATGCGTCTGAATTTTATGTAATATATAATATATATTTCGTTTTTATATTTTTTATTATAAAATAATATTTGAATTATTATACATAAAAATTTATTTTCTTTTTTTTTAAATTTTTTTTATTGCACTTTTATCATTTCTAGAAGTTAAAGATAATAAACGCTAGTAATAACACTTCTGTTTGTTCTTACTACAAAACTTAATCACTCGTAAATTTTATTTCACAAAAAAATTACGAAACTAAAAATTCAACAAAGAAATTACGAAATTAATGAAGGGAGGTTACTAAGGAAGCTCAAATCAATAAACCTATTAGTTATCTAAAATTGAATCGAGTCTTTTAACTATTTACTACAGATGTCATTATCAATAATTTCATGAAGAATAATTACATATTGTAAACACAAGAGATCCAGTTAATCTCTAAAAACAAATATATAAAAAAAAGAGAGAGAAAGAATAATAATAAAACACATTAAAACGTTAAGAATTTAATATGACTGATATCGCATAACTTATGAAAAATTTCGAAGAAGAAGAAAAAGAAGACATGGGTACACAATAGGCTATGCAAAGATGTTGTTTTCAAGTAGATAGCTCATTAAGAAAGTAGCATTGGCGAAGTTTGAAGATTTTGCACTCAAGTAAATAGATGTATACTTCTAATTATACGATCTTACGTAACATGTACTTTCGTATCAGTATTTTTATTACAGTAACTATATATTCAATTTTTAAATTCAAATTTTTTTTGTCGACTGATACATAATATAGTATAAACTTTTATTTTTAATATGTTTTTAAGAATTTAAGTGCTCAGCCAACTAGAATAGTTGTTCATCTTCAACTTTAAAATATTTATAAGCTAGAGACAATTTAAATATGATTTATATTATTAAATTTATGTTACTAAAATAAAAACTAAAAGTCAAATTTAATATCTGTTATTTACTAGTTACCGAATATGTCATTAAATCTAAATTTTAATCGAAATAAACTTAAAAAAATTATGTAACTTTTAAGTTAAAGAATATAATGTAAGCTAAGAACATCCAATGTTTTATTTCTCTTTAAAATTTAAAGAGAAGCAACCAATAATATCATATAAATATGACCTAAAATTTAATTACTCCAAAGTAGTTTATTTGTGATTTTGATAAAATTTCTCATTCTCATTCTATCAATCCTTATTCAAAATCTCATTTACCAGCTAATTGGCTTGACTCGACAAACATTGTCTCCATGTACAAATTACTTCCACTTCACATTTTAGTTCATTAAAGCATGGACCTTCATTTCATTTTTCTCATCTTCCCCTTTCATTACAATACGTTTCCTCTCATTTAGAAAATCTATAATGATCGAGGATAACTACTTTATTGCAATTTTAATAGGAAAAATTTAAGATATTCTCATAATTATTAAGAATAGGGTTAAGCAAATGTTTTTCTTTTGCTTGTCGAATTAGGAATCAATTAGTTTTCAAAATCCTTATGCGAGTTTCTTTGGACTAGAGGTCATAAGTCTTAATGTAAGATTTCTATAAGGGTATATCACATGATCTCCAGTAAATTAGGTAATAAAATTGGGATAAAACTTTTGGAGCACAAAAATAGAGGGAGTTACATAAAAGGATTTTGGTAGTAGTAAGTTTAGTTTGTAGCATAGATCTTGCAAAAGGTATGTTGGTTGTTTTGGCAAATCTTTATTGGTCAATGATGAGATGGATGTTGAATAAGGTCAAGGCATTCAAGTAGAACAGGCCAAGGCATATTCTTTTAAGCATAGCATTAAGGTCCATACGTCTCCCTACTTCTTGAGTGGAAACAGTAGTGATATCGTAATTCTCTGTCCTTATTATAAGAAAGAAATAATAGTAAATATCTTATTAAATAAATAGAAGATATGAAATCTTATATCGTTACATTAGTGGTTTCTCTATCACCTTCTATACAAAAAATAATGAAACTTTTTGAATTTCAAATAAAAAATATCTTAGAGAACTACTATCAGTTGAGTTGAGTTGACTA